CCCCTTGGAAACCCTATGGGGCAGTTCTACTCTGTCCTATAGGGTCACTATGAGTCAGAATCGACTTGACCAAGAGTTTGGGTTTTTCCTTTTTTTGGTAAGTTGACACAATCCTATTTCCCTCAGTTACACTTTTGTGAGTTAAACTGTATAAGAGGTTTTCAAAATAGAACTTGGGTCCTCCCAATGGAGATTTGGAGAGCCATGACTGAAGCTGGGAAGAGACTTGGGACATCTTGTACTATCCTTGCTCCAGGCCAGGGTTGTTTTGCATCTGTGAGGCTGGTTCTTACCAAGCTATTCCCTGACTTGAACCTGACCTTCCATGGCATGCATTTATTTATCAAGCCTTCATTATGTCATGAGCTCTATCAGATGGTGGGGATACAAAGGTAAATTTGGCATCAAAGCTGCTCTGAAAGGGCTCACAGGGTTTGGAAATGTGAATATTGGGAAGACAGTGGTTTTATAATGTAAGCAGTTAAAGTGCTGCAGGTTCAGGCATCACCCCTGGCCCAGAGGCTCTTACACTACAGTCCAATAGGCCTTTATGGCTATGCTTAAATCCCAGGGACTGGTACCGTAGTAGGACATGATAATGGCCCCCCAAATATACCTACATTCATCTCCAGACTTGTGAATATGTTATGTTACACTACCAGTTACCACTGAGTTGATGCCGACTCCTGGTGACCTTAAATGTGTCGGAGTAGAACTGTGCTCCATAGGGTTTTCAATGGCTGATTTTTCAGAAGTAGCTTCCCAAGCCTTTCTTCTGAGGCAGACTCAAACCTCTAACATTTCCATTAGTAGCTGAGTGTGTTAAATGCTTATACCACCTATGTTATACGGCAAGGGGGAATTAAGGTTGCTAATAAACTGACCTTGACATAGGAAGATTATCCTGGATTATCCAAGTGGATAATTGTAATCACAAGGATCCTTATAAGTAAGAGAGAGAGGCAAAAGAGAACGAGAGGGCTAGCAACATGAGAAGAACTTGACCTGCTGCTGGCTGTGAACATGGAGGAAGAGGGCAATGAGTCAAGAAATGAGGCAATCTCGAGAAGCTGGAAAAGGCAAGGAAACAGATTCTCCTCTAGAGCCTCCAGAAAGAAATGTAGTCCTGCCAACACTTTGATATTAGACCCGTAACCTCGTTGCTGTGGAGTCGATTCCAACTCATAGTGACCCTATAGGACAGAGAAGAACTGTCCCATAGCGTTTCCAAGGAGCAGCTAGTAGATTCGAACTCTTAACCTTTTGGTTAGCAGGCATAGCTCTTAACCATTGCACCACCAGGGAGACCTATTTCAGACTTCTGACCTCAAGGACTGTAAGATAATAAATTCGTGTTGTTTTAAGCCACTAAGTTTGTGGCAATTTGTTACAGCAGCAATAGGAAACGAATACCAGTACCCTATAGGTGTGCCTGGTTATGTGCAAAAAGACAGAGGATTAACCAGGTGCATCTTCCTTGAAGTTGTCAAGAATTTCATTTTACTTGGATCCACAGTCAAGGCCTGTGGAAGCAGCAGTCAAGAATTCAAATGATGTATTGCATTGGGCAAATCTGCTGCAAAAAGCCTCTTTAAAGTGTTGAAAAGCAAAGATGTCACTTTGAGGACTAAGATGCACCTGATCCAAGCCATAGTGTTTTCAATTGCCTTATATACATGTGAAAGTTGGTCAGTGAATAAGGAAGACCAGAGAAGAATTGATGCCTTTGAATTATGGTGTTGGCAAAGCATATTGAACATACCATGGACTGCTAGAAGAATGAACAAATCTGTCTTGGAAGAAGTACAGCCAGAGTGCTCTTTAGAAGCAAGGATGACAAGACTTTGTCTCACATACTTGGGACATGTTATCAGGAGGGACCAGTCCCTGGAGAAGGACATCATGCTTGGTAAAGCAGAGGGTCAGCGAAAAAGAGAGGAAGATCCTCAACAAGATGGATTGACACAGTGGCTGCAACAATGGGCCCAAGCATACCAACTATTGTGAGGATGGTGCAGGACCAGGCAGTGTTTCATTCTGTTGTACACAGGGTAGCTACGAGGCAGAACCAACCTGATGGCAGCTAAAAGCAATAACCACAAATCTTCCCAGAGAGTTAATTAAACCCTTATTTTCATATTAAGCATATGGAATAGGATGATTATGTAGCATTAACTTCGGAGACTATCTTCAAAACACAACATTTTTTTAATTTGCAAGCTGCTTTGAGCCCTCAGCTACCAGTTCTCCTCTCCTCTCAGGTGGACATGTTTGAGAGGCACCAATCTATCTTAGCACTACAGTCAATGACGACGAGACTCCTGCCATTTTTATTCTTACCATAACGTTGCATCTAGGACTCTTTTTTAACTTAACATTTTAAAATACATGTTCCCAAACACGCGACCATTGGAATTTCATTTAAGGATTTAAAAATATTCTATCTATAAGCATAATCATATCTAACATTTGTATAATCCTTTCTCAAACACTTCTTTATTTGGAGCTTAAGACAGCTTGCTGAATAAAGTACAGTAAATTCTGCAAAAGCCAGAACCTGTGTAAGGCGGAAGCCTGTCAGAGAAGGAAAACACAGACATTTTCCACTAAGAGAGAGTGACAGAAAAGTGGTAAGACGGCACCCTGTCAATGAGGAAAACTTTTGAGACCTTGAAAAACAAGGCAGTCTGGCTGAGTTCTGGCTCTCATAGGTTTCACTGTATTCTGAGTTGTCAGAGAAGGAGCAGGGAACTTGGGATGGTTGTCAAAGGTCAGTAAGTTCCCAGCGGCAGTGGTGGCAGCTGGACCCTGCTCCATGCTTGCACATCCAGTGCTCTTTGCGCGACAGCACGGTGAACACCAGGCTCATCACTGGAGGTGCTTCTCTGGGGTGGTTCATTAGGAGCTAGCCCTGAATTCACCAAGCATCTGCAGTTATACTGTGTTCTCACAGCCCGTGCGTCTATACAACGGCTGCTCTTGATTTCGATGTGGCTGCTTTCATTATGACTGTAAAATTGTAAGCGGCCCCTTCTTTTTATGTGACTGGATCTGTTCTCACGAAAGGATCCCATGGACAAAAGAGAGCACAGACAATGTGACTGCAAGAGCAGGCCTGGGGCTTCCGATAATCACAAAAGCCATTTTTCATTGTGATCCCAATGTGACTGACATGAATTGGATGTAGAAAGAAGGGGAGGCTAGAGGCTCTCATTCTTCTTTGGTGCTGAGATCAGAGAGCCTCTTTTGGCATTTCTCAGCGCCCCTTCTTCCCATTTAACAGCAGTGTCTTATCTGGGCCCAGGTCTCAGAAGCCACAGCTGTTTCTGCAGTCAGTACGTTATACATAGTCAGGTACCGTAGGATGGTTGTTTCTTGTTTTTAGATTTATCATTATTACTCATGGGTTTAACTGCCGAGGAGGTATCTTTCTTTCCTCATTGTCTCTCTCTTACTCCAATTTGAGGCCAGGATGCCATACTTTCTGCAATCCTTCAAATCACCTTTTTCAGAGGCCTTCCCTAGCCAACCATATAAAATATCACCCTGACCCTACTCTTTTCACTCTCTATCCTCTTTAACATGATTTCTGAGTTTCTTCATAATATGTCTCCCAACCTGACATATTCTATTTTTATATTTTTTCAAATTGTTTGTCTGTCTCCTCCAACCAGAACAGGAGCTCCGTAAGAGTAGGCTCTGTATCTTTTTGATTGCTATTGTATCCCCAGTGCCTAGACAAGTGTCTAGCACATACTGGAGCTCGATAGGTGTTTGATGAATGAATTAATGAATTATTTACATCTACCACATACTAGTACTAGCCCAGGCTTGCCATATTAAAGTCCCTAGTGAACTAAAAAGCAAGAGGTCATAGCAAGGGGTACAAAAGAAAAACCTCTAACTTACCTTTCTTACTCTCAAATTTTCTAGTTTATGACTGACTGATGGATTGGGAGAAGGGAAAGGTTCAGAAGGAGGAAATACCAGAAATGTTTCAAGCTCTCAGATCAAAGATCTTGAGCCCCTAAAGCCACATTTGGTCCTTTTGGGAGGGTCCTTCTTCTGCCTGGACTTCTCTTCCTCCAGATAGAATTGGATGCATTCACACATGAGCGCTGGCCTGCTTATGTCATATTCACTTAAGAAAAGCAAAGGCTTTGTTTAGTTTATTTAGTTAATTGGGTGGTAGGAGAGAGAGGCCAGTGCTGTTACTCCATTTTGTTTGCGATCCACTGATTTGTTACAAGTTTGTTCTGGAACCGGTGAGAAATAAGGACAATGCAGCAAATCCTCCTATATCACAGTGCATTTGTTTGGTTTTGTTTCCGTGACTTCTGTGAAGTCTACCTGGAAAATCTCTATCAGTCAGCTAATTGCCATCAAGTGGATTCCAACTCATGGCGACCCCATGCATGTTAGAGTGAAACTGTGCTCCACAAGGTTTTCAGTGGCTGATTTTTCAGAAGTAGATCTCCAGGCCTTTCTTCCAAGGCTCTTCTGGATAGACTTGAACCTCCAACCTTTCAGTCAGCAGCTGAGTGTTTTAACTGCTTGCATCTCTCAGGGACTCCAAAAAACTTCTAGTCATTGTTTAAGCTCTAGATCAAATATGGTCTCCTCTACGAAGCTTTCCTTAAACATCTCATGGAAGGGTTCTACAGTCCCTGCTGGGTGCCCCCACCAGGCCTTGATCACATTGCTAGTCTTGGTCCCATCACCTTATTTAAATGACTACATCTCTTACTAGTTCTGAGGAGTAGGAGGCCAGGAATTGTCTCATGTTTCTTTATACCTCTCGTGTCCAGCTTATGAGTTGAAATTGACTTGACAGCAATGGGTTTTTTTTGTCCAACTGAGAGAATGAACCAGTGAATAAATGAGAAAACAAAAGACCAAGAGACTGTACACTCTAGTCACAGTTACCCAGTTATTAGCATTTGGACCTTCCTTCTGGTGATACTATTTGATCACTTATTTTTTTTTTTTGTCTTCATCAGGCACTCTGATTGTTCTGAAGCATCCCTATCCAAGGAAAGTGGAAGAGCCTTCCATTTATGAATCCGTGCGGGTTCACACAGCAATGCAGACAGGAAGAACAGAAAATGACCTTGTGCCCACTGCTCCTTCTGTAAGCAACCGCCAGCTTGACCACAAGCTCTGTCTTTGTCTAAAAGCGTTAAGTGCAGTAAGAGCTACATGCTTTTCGAACTACATTTTTTCACATAAAAATTCTGATTTTGGATCTAAAACTTGGACAAGAACATAAGGTTTGAATCCCATGGCTCATTCATCTGGCCCAGGGTAATTGCATAAAAAATACAGTGCAATAGTGATAGGATTTTAAATACTTTAAAAATGATACTTGAATCTCCATCCTTAGCCAAATAAGCTGATGATAGAATGAGTTGACTAAAGTGTTATTCCTGGACAAGTTTCCTAAATTAAAAAATTTGTTTTTGTTTTAACATTTCAACTGCCTAGAGTAGAAAAATATTCTCTATCTTTATGATAAAACCTTGGGATGTTATTTTTTCCTAGCCTTTTTACCTTCACTGAATGAAGTATACAGACAGAAAACATCTGCACCTCTTTGCAACTCAGGCCATTGTTCAGTTTCACTGCAACTGGGGCACCCATTGTTCTTCTGAGATTTCATTTATGTTTGTTCTGTGAACTGTGACCCTGCAATCATTCCTCTCTGGCACTCCTTTCTTTTCATTATTCTCAAGTCTCCTCTGTTCTTTTACTCTTCCTTGTTTTTTCAATACTCCTGGTATAAGTGACCTGGATGTGCACAAATGATACAGAAGACAGTACACAGATGAAATATCAAGAACTGCTTCTAGGTAGCAATCATCACACTTGCAAAATAAACCCTTGAGGATATTTCGCTACAAATTGTATTAAAACATGTGGCCTCCCTATCTCTGCAGTACTTTTTCTACTCTGCCACTGGAGAGTTCTTTCTTTAAAAGCAGCTTTATCACATGACCTCCCTGATTCACAGCCTTCAGTGGTGCCCACAGTCTTTATGGACCACCTGGACCCTGCTCACCTCTCTGGCATCATCTCATGCCACCCCCATACTCACGATATAGAACTTGCCTCTCTCAATAACATGCATTCCTCCGAATGTTCTCCTTCTTCCCTCCCTACATCTGGAATGCTACCAACACCACTACTGTCCGCTCATCCTTCAAGACAAGTGTCAGCGATCAGCATCCTCCAAGAAGCCTTCCTTGACCCCCACCCCCCACTAGCTTGTGTTTAAACAACACTCTTCTGTGCTCCAGAGCACTCTTTGCTTACCTTTACCTGGAATTCTCAGACTATAACATAAAAAAAAACCTAGTTGCTATCGAGTCAGTTCCAACTCATGGCGACCCCATGTGTTTCAGAGTAAAACTGCACTCCATAAGGTTCTCAATGGCTGTGATCTTTTGGAAGTCAATTGCCAAGCTTTTCTTCTGAGGTCCCTGTGGGTGGTTATGAACCACCAACCTTTTGGTTAACAGCAGACCACTCAAACTTTTGGGCCACTCAGGGACTCCTTACAGTAGCGTTGGTTGTTGGGTGTTGTCAAGTCGATTCGTACTCATAGTAACCCAAGACAACAGAGAAGAACTGCCCTATAGCATTTCCTAAGCTGTAATCTTTATGGGGGAGAGCTGGTGGTGCAGTGGTTAAAGCACTTGGCTGCTAAACAAAAGGTCAGCAGTTCAAACCCACCAGCTGCTCTGCAGGGGAAAAATGTGGCAGCCTGCTTCCATAAAGATTTACAGCCTTGGCCCCTATGGGACAGTTCTACTCTGTCTATAGGGTCGTTATAAGTCGAAATTAACTGGATCGGAGTGGGTGGAATCTTTTCGGGAGTAGATCACTATGTCTTTCCTCCTGCAGAGCAGCTGGCTGTGTTCAAACCACTGATCTTTTGGTTAGCAGCCAAGCACTTAACCGCTGTGCCATTGGGGTCCTTTACTGTAGCATATTGTTGTTGTTAGGTGCGTCGAGGTGGCTCCGACTCATAGTGACCCTATGTACAACAGAACAAAACACTGCCTGGTCCTCCACCATTCTCACAATCTTTGCTATGCCTGAGCCCGTTGTTGCAGCCACTGTGTCAATCCATCTCACTGAGGATCTTCCTTTCTTTCCCTGAGCCTCTATCAAGCATAATGTCGTTCTCCAGGGACTGGTCCCTTCTGATACATGGCTAAAGTAAATGAGACGAAGTCTTACCATCCTCGCTTCTAAGGAGCATTCTGGCTGTACTTCTTCCAAGACAGATTTGTTCGTTCTTCTGGCAGTCCATGGTATATTCAATATCCTTCGCGAACACTGACATTCAAAGACATCAGTTCTTCTTTGATCTTCTTTATTCATTGTCCAGTTTTCCAACGTATATGAGGCAATTGAAAATATCATGACTTGGGTCAGGTGCACCTTAGTCCTCAAAGTGACATCTTTGCTTTTTAACACTTTAAAGAAGTCTTTTGCAGCAGATTCGACCAATGCAATATGTTGTTTGAGTTTTTGACTGCTTCTTCCATGAGTGTTGATCTTGGATCCAAGTAAAATGAAATCCTTGACAACTTCAGTTTTTTCTCCATTTATCAACATTTTATCCATTTAGCATCAGGATTGGAGGAAGACTCATAACAACCTGCAATGTGCAGATGACACAACCTTGCTTTCAGAAAGCGAAGAGAATTTGAAGCACTTACTGATGAACATCAAAGACTACAGCCTTCAATGTGGATTACACCTCAACATAAAGAAAACAAAAATTCTCACAATTGGACCAATAAACAAAATATTGAAGTTGTCAAGGATTACTGTAGTATAACTACCTGCAAACGTGTCTGCTCTCCCCACCAGCCTGAGACTTCCTAAGGACAGGGAGCACAGCTTGTCTTTGTAGCTTTGTAGCCTACCCTGGTTCATGGAACATATTATGTGTTTGTTATTATGCTACATCTACTTAAAATTAAACATCCTGGAAATTGGTTGAAAAAGATACACTGGCTTTTTTAGAGTTGGAGGAGGAAGCATCAGCACTCACAACGAGAGAAATTGAGGAAAGTAGGACGATGAATATTCCAAAGTGAAAAGAGACCAAAGAACAAATCAAGACCTACCCTCTAACGGATTCTTGTTTTCCAGTCAACCAGTTCCCTCCTAACCTTCCTCTTTACTCCTCCTTTTCCCTCCATCAATCACTTCAACATCTCTCTCATTTGGACTTTCAGTTTGACTTTACTTCTCCTTCTGTTGCACTTACCCGAATGGTCTCCACTCAAGATAAATCAAACCATACCCTAGTATGTGTGTCCTCACACACACTACCTAGCACAGCTGAGGAAATATGAGTCACCTGGGTGACTCACTGCCACTGTGGGGCTGTGGTTTCCAGCCTCAGATGTTCCCACAGTGCTACCCAGCGATCTTTCTCTAACCTCAGTCCACCTGACTTTCTCCCATTTCCTCAGCACTGATCTCAAGTCCCCCCTCCTTAAGTCCCCCATATAAGTGATTCCCAAGCACTGCTCTTCAGATCCATGCTCTTCAGGTGATTTATCAGGTCCACTGAAAAATAAGAAAAATGTAAACAGATGCCATGAGTGTTTCACAAGGCTCAACTTGTAAAATTTAAAACTGTCCTTTATTCTGAAATTATATGCTTCCTATTTTTTTAATGTTAAAATGTCTTTCTCTTAGGAAATGATGATGATGGTAGGTGTTACTTTAAAAAAAAAAAAACTTATGCAGTTTAAAAGATTGTCCTTCATACTGAAATGATATGCCTCTTTTTTTATACATTAAAATGGCCCTCCTCTTAGAAAATAACGATGATGGCCCTCGTCTTAGAAAATTGTTGCTGTCATTAGGTGCTGTCGAGTTGGTTCCGACTTATAGCGACCCTATGTACAACAGAACAAAACACTGCCTGGTCCTGTGCCATCCTCACAATTGTTGCTAAGTTTGAGCCACTGTGTCAAACCATCTCATGGAGTGTCTTCCTCTCATTCACTGACCCTCACTTTACCAAGCATTATGCCCTTCCTCAGGAACTGGTCCCTCCTGAGTATTATTAGACAAAGTCTCACCATCCTCTCATCTAAGAAGCATTCTGGCTGTATTTCTTCCAAGACACATTTGTTTGTTCTTTTGGCAGTCCATGGTGCATTCAATATTCCTTGCCAATACCATAATTTAAGGGCATTAATTATTCTTTGGTATTTCTTATTCACTGTGTAGCCTTTGTATGCATATGAGGTAATTGAAAATACCATGGCTTGGGTGAGGCACACCTTAGTCCTCAAAGTGACATCTTTGCCTTTTACAATGGTAGCTTTTAAATTTTTTTATGTTTATTTGACAAAACAAAAAGTTAACTAAGTGATGTCTCACAAAGCTTTGAAACTTCCACCTTGCTGTTTCATTCGGTCCAGGAGTCTGAGAACCATGGCATAATACCATCTCTCTCCTTATCGCAGAGCAGGTAACCTTGCCTCCTACTTCCCAGGGAAAGGAGTCGTAAGTGGTGATTTCAGTTACTCCTCCTGCTCCCCAAACTCTGACTTTATTGATAGTCTCAGCCGTGCTTATATTCCTTCCTTCTGAAGAAGAGAGAGAGGAGGCCCAGTGGGGACAATGTGCAATGAGAAGTTCATGAAGTTCATTGTACATTAATATAGACAGAAAACTAAAAAGGCTTTCTAGTCAATTCTGAAATGTCTCTTGTTACTCCACACTAAGAAATCACTGCTAACTTCACCAGTATGGATGAGGGAACTGTTCTGGTCCAGTCAGCATCCTCTTGTTCCTTAATGACCACAAGCATTCTCAGCCTCCACTGGTTACCCCCAACAGCCATATTGATGCTGCACCTCCATCTCCAACCTGAGAGCTCTGTGGGTTTTCAGACTCTGCCTTCTCTTTGGGGATGCAGTTCTTGCTCAAGCTCTGGCAGTGGAGAAAGAGAACTAAGTCTTATAGGAAAAAGAACTTCTTGCTTGAAGTGAAAGTGAAAACAGACGCCCTATTGCCCAAAAACATGCTTGTCTAAAACTGTTTAGTATCTTTTGGCAACTGTGTACTTGAGAAATCACAGTCATATTATAAACAACATAGGGTTGGGTCCTGAGATAGGAATAAATTTAATTAATTCATTTACTTAACAAACTTTTCTTAAGCATCTACTATACATCAGGACTGTCTTAAACACTGGGGATTTGGCAGTGAATTAGGCAAAGTTCCTGCCCTCATTAAGCTTACATTCTAGTGGTGATCACAGACAATAATCAAAGTAATAATACAATGCCAGATAGTAAGAAGTCATGCAAAGAAAAATAAAGTAGGATAAAACAAAATAAAGTAGGGTAGAAGAGGGAAATAGAGAAGGCCACTCTAGTAAGGCGACATTTAGCAGAGACCTCACTGAAAGGAAGGAATGACTCATGTCAAGATTTGGGAAACAGCATTCCAGGCAGAGGGAACAGTACAAAAGCCCTGAGCTTGGGAACTAAATTGCAGTGTTTCAAAGACCAGTAAGAAGGTCAGAGCGACTAGCATAGAGTAAGCTAGAAGGAAAGTAGTAGGAGATAGTATCAGTGGGGCAATGAGAGGCCAGATCATGTAAGGCAATAGAGTTCTTAAATGAGCAATACTTCCTAGCTGGGGTGTTTGGAAATCTGTGTCTTTGTTGTCACAATGCTTTGGCCAACACTACTAGCATTAATCGGTATTAAGAACTGTGAAAAGTCTGAGACTTCACCCTACTTGCAAACTAATAAGTTAGTCCACCCCAGTTTCACGGATGCTGATAGAAGATGCAATCAAAATAAATCACTGATTATGTGATTTCAAATTCACCAATTTTTGGTTTAACATCATTTAAATAGGAAGTTCACCATTACTTTAATGCCATGAAAAAGTTTAAAAGAAGTAGTTATTATTTCTTATTTAACTGTTTTTGCTATGATGGTTTTTGTTCCTCTTTTTTTTTTTGGTAGGGAGAATTTACCTCAGGAAAAAAAGTACTCCGGGAATTCCCATAAAAAGAACCTTGGCTTCAACCAAGTCATTTCCCAGTTTTTCTTTCTTTTTTTTTTTTTTTTTTGCTAATACCAGACATATTATGATATCATATTAGAATAAAATACCCTACCAGGAATTCAATTTCTTCAGAAATTTATGAAAAAAATAAATGCTAAATTTCTTGATCTTAGTGTCCTTGTCTTATGCAAATTTCTATTCACATAGCTCCCCACTGCTCCTTACATTACATAGGTGCTTGCTACTGTGTGATATTGTTACCCTTGAATTAATGTTATGGAGGTTAAAAATAAATGACTCATCCTCACTTCAAATTCCTTTTGGACAAGTCAAGTATAAATAAATCTGCATTCCTGAAATTCTTCTCCATAGAATATGGGTCTCAAGAGATTATCTGTGAAAAATAAAGGGGTTCTGTGATAAAATGAATATTAGAAATGCACACAAAACAATTCACAAAGTGCGCTAGCATAATACAGACTCCGTAAAGCTCTGAACTAAAGAAATTCCTTTACTTTCTTTAATCCAGAGTTTGCCACATGTATTGACCACGCATGGGTGCATATGTGCACGTGTGCACGTCGTACGGCACAATAATCTAAATAGCTGGGTTTCACATAATACACTTGGCCAAAACTAATGTCTGTAAGTGAAATGATGTGGTTCATTTATTTGCAAATTTCTGGCTCTAGTGAGTTGAGAGTCTTTCTATTACCTGTTGCCACAGAATTATGCCAGATGATCCAATCTGAAAACAGTCTCTCACAATAAGTGGGAGATTTTCAAGTGCCTAGGTGAAGAATGAAAGGCGATCACTTAAAGATCAAAGCCAAATTTGTTTTTCATTTTCCATAGGACAGAAATATAAAGATAAAAATTATTGTGTGACAGTTCTAGGCTTCACTTGATGCTTCTTTCTTTTTCAGCTGGGTACCAAAGAAGGCTACCTCACCAAACAGGGGGGCTTGGTCAAGGTAAGGAAGCATGCCATCCATTCACTATGTGACTAAATTCTCTAATTTTGACACTAGTCTTTTTTTTTTTTTTTTTAAGAAAATTGCCTACTCATTTTGAACCACTTTTTAGTATGTACCTGTTTGGAGAGTTCGTCTTCATGGATAATTTATCAAAATTCTGGAAAATGACTATTATTTGGCAAAACCCTACATTATAATAGCCTACAGTTTATACTCAAGAAAACACAATCCTTCTAATGGAATAATTGAAGATGAAAGTAGCAGGTTAACTTTAGAATTTTGGTTTTTAACAAATAAAAACTCAAAATTTTATAAATTGTTTATCTAAAAATAGACTAAAAAGGTCACCAAGTCCTAATTAAACTATTTGATAAAATCCCAAAGAAAATTCAGTTAAGGACTTTACTAGCCCAGGGTATCCAACTGTCTACCATTTATATCACTGTACCTTTAAAGTTACTTATTTCATGTCAATATGTTAAGAAGACCTTCATGGAATTTGTCATTCCTTCCTGTTTTAAGAGTCAGGGTACTCACCCTCTCTTATAGGTACTTATTTGCTTGAGTTCAACCGAAGTAGTTATTTGTGTCCTTGCTATACTGTATGCTTCTTGAGGGCAGGCAGTATTCATATTCATCGAATATTTATTTTTTAAATCCCCTGTTACTTCTTTTAACTGGGCAGATTGCTACCTAGAATAAGACTAATTAATTCTGACTCATGGTGACATTGTGTGTTTTGAAGTAGAACGTGTTCCATAGGGTTTTCAATGTCTGGGACATTTCAGAAGTAGATTGCCAGGACTTTCTTCTGAGGAGCCTCTGGATGGACTCAAACCTCCAACTTTCAGTTAGCAGCCAAGTGTGTTTTAGGATTCTGGTAATATATAAAAAGAAGACAATGGATATTGAGAGGCAACTAGAAGTCTCTGCCACAAATGCCATAGAATTCCTAGGCAAGGTTTAGAATATTACGTCACTGGAGGACCCTGAACCTCAACTTGCTTACTAACAAAACAAAAATAATAATATGACATTATTGTGTGAGGAATGGCTAACATACAATAAACCTCAAAGGATAGTATGTAGCCCATATAATAGGTACTCAAAACGTGGTATCTCTTTCTTGTTATAGAGTTAATAAGATGAGCATCCTAGTCTTTTGTTATAAACCACCTTGAATATTTATATAGGCTATTTTCTTTTATCTGCTTAAATATTATTTAATGATATCTCTGCCTTTGTTATAAAATTAATAAATGAAATAATTTTAATTTTTTTAGATACTCTGAAATGTTTTTCTCAAGAACAATTCTTACCCCACGAATGCTTTTCAGGCTTATTGTATTAATCTTTTAGATATTTTTAAAAGGAAAGGAAATTGTCTAGTTCAAACATTGCTTTCCTCTATTCAATATCTGTGTGTTTTAATTAATTTTTTTTTCTCAGACTTGGAAGACAAGATGGTTCACTTTGCACAGGAATGAACTGAAGTATTTCAAAGACCAAATGGTGAGAAATAGCACATTTTCCCTTTAAATATCAGCTCTCTAGAAGAAAGGAACATCTGCCTTTCAAATCCCTGAAAATCTCCCATGCCCACCCAAAAACAAAACCAAATATCCCATAAATAACTGGGAGTGTGAATCCCTGATTCCTCACATAAGCAGAGCTATTTTGCAAAGATGAGGTGGGTATTCCAGAAATTGCACTCTTGGATTGGCTAGGCTGTGGCTCCCAGAGAATATAATTCTGTCTAAGACAATGGAATAGTTCTCTTGCCGTAATTTATTGCCTCTCTGAGCCAGTTTCCCTATTTATTAAACATTTGTTCATTTCCTGAAATGTGTGGCTAATTGCCTCCATAAACAACTGCCCTCTTTGCCATGAGGCCAGAAGAACTGGATGGTGCCTGGCTACATTACTGAACAATTTGATCAAAGATTCTCTAGAAGAATCCTGATCAAAAGGGGGAAATGCAGAAAACAATTTCAAATTCTCATGGAATCTAGACTTTCTGGAGCTATGGAAGCTGGATGATCCCCTGAAACTATTGCCCTAAAATAATGCTTAAACCTTAAACCAAAAATGTCCCCTGTAGTCTTCTTAAAACCAAACAATAGTTTAGCTTAACTAGTAAAAAATGTCTGCCTTGGGCATTGTACTCTTTTAAGATCTATCTACATGGGATCAAATTGACAACAGTGACTCGAAAGCTTAGATAGGAAACTTTGGGGCAATGAGTTTATGTTAATGAGAGAGGAACAATCAGAAAAAGAGGGTGAGAATGGTTGCTGCAGAAGAATGTAATCAATGTCACTGAATTGTACATGCTAGAAATTGTTGAACTGGTGTATGTTCGGCTGCGTATATTCTCAACAACAAAAATAAAATTTAAAAAAATGTCCGTTTCCTATATCCATTTCATTAAGCCTGAAATTATCTCATTTCTCTCACTTCACCTATACAAAATTTCTGAGCAAGTAGAAGTTTAAGAAGATGGAAGAAAAACATGACTCCCATCCATGTGTTAAAATCCATCTCCATCAAATGTAAATCGATAAAGACAATCTCTTCTTAATACTCAGTGTCATGAAAGGTTAATCCCCAAACCAGGTGTTTGTGACTTCCCTTGTAAGCCTTCTCTAGTTTCAGTCCTCTGAATGTAACTAAAATTGGCAGTTATAAGTAGTGCAAGACTTGTTAGGAGAATAGTAATGGGCAGATTTGTGTGTGTGTGTGTGTGTGTACTTTATGCTGACCTAGGTTCCTTTTTTTTTTTTTTTTAAATAAAGTCACCAGAACCAATTCGGATCCTAGACTTAACAGAATGTTCAGCTGTACAATTTGATTACTCACAAGAAAAAGTAAACTGTTTTTGGTAAGTTGTTCTATAAATAAAATGTTTTTAAAAGTGTTCTTGCCAATTACTTATTTTAGCTAAGGAATAAGAAACTACGTCTTAATGTAGTGAAATGCTTTGATCTGAGGGATGTGGATTAAACCATCACATGAGACATTTATCAGTTAGGAGTGCTTCTGGCTGAATGTGCAGTAATACCTCATTTAAAGTAGTTTAAACAAGTAGGCGAGCCTGCTGGGTCCAGCTGTCTAGTTTGTACAATGCACACGTATGACACACATAAGAGGATACCATTCACATCTCAGACAGCTTTATTCTTTTGAGTTTTTTCTTCAATTTTAATTATGACTTTGTTGACTCCAGATATGAATGATTTGTATGTTTATGACCATTTCTGGCAGTGTTTTGTTCTAACAGTATCCGTATATTATGACAATTTTCTAACTGGGAGAAGTAAAATGTCTTGAAGAAGGAGTGGATTTTTTTCTACCAATTTTTATTTTAAAGTGTTTCAAGCATATAAAAAGTTGAAAGACTTATATACCCAAATACCCTTCATCTAGATGCATCAATTGCTACTATACAGCCATATTTACTTTTATCTCTATCTTTCCACTTTTTTTTCTCTGAACCAATTGAAAGTAAATTATTGACATCATGGCACTGTATCTCTAAATATTTGAGTATGAGTCTCCTAAGAACTACAATATTATGACAGCTAAGAAAATCTGCATAGAAGTGCCATATGAGCTAACAAGAGTATATTTTTCTCATAAACACAGCAAATCTGGAGGCAGGCAGCCACCTTGACAAGCTCAGGTCCAGTATCTCTACATTCTCTTGGTCTTTTCCTCATGCTTGCTACTCAAGGTCTAAGATGGCTACTCCAGCTTCAAGCTTCATGTCTGTATATAAGGCAGGAAGAAAAGAGTAAGTGATGGTACTTGCCACATCTTTCTTTTTTTAATCAGGAAAGCAAAAGTTTTTCCAGAAACTCCCCTATTAAAAAAAAAAAACCCATTGCTGCCAAGCTAATTCTGACTCATAGTGACCCTATAGGACAGAGTAGAACTGCCCCATAGGGTTTCCAAAGAGTGGCTGGTGGATTCAAACTGCTGACCGTTGGTTAACAGCCCAGCACTTAACCACTGTGCCACCAGGACTCCGCTTGCCTATTAGATTTCCCTTTATATCTCATTGGTCAAGAGTTCCATGGCCATCCCTAGCAGAAGGGCAGGCCAGAAAAAAGTAATAGAGTGATTATGATTGGCTTAAAGTAATTATGCTTATTGCTTGGGGCTTCTGTCAGCAAGAAGAAAGGAAAAAATTATATGTGTTAGTAGGTGATTACTAGCGTCTCCCACAGGAAGTACCAGACAACAACAATTCCAGAGCCCAGTTATATGCACACTGTCAGGCCTCTCCCCACCACTCTGCAGTTACACCCCAGCTGGACCTTACATCAAGAACTGACCTTTTATACACAGGGACTTACCTCTTATCTATTTAGTAATTACTGGTATAAGCAAAATTTGGTGCTTAGGCTTTTGTAGATAGAAATCCTTCTCAATTTCAATTCAAGCCTTTTTTCCTTTTTTCCATGAGAGAGGAAGAAAAAAGATTTTTAATGTTTTGCATATCAACTGGAAAGACAGGAATTATGGGCAAGATATAAACTATGACTGATCTTTTAGGTCAAATGATTTTGACTATATAGCCAAAGAGACAGTTAAATTAATTACCATACTCCTAGAAAAATTTTTCCTTACTACTAGGTAGGAAAGTTCATTTTTCCTCCAGCAGAGGCTGACCAGTGGTGGCCAAAATGAATAGCTAAGAAGTTTGATTGTCTCTTCCTGCCCTAAGTAGTTGAAAACTACTTACATCCATGAAAGTCAGCGTTATCTCTATTGAAGCAAGCTAACACAAATGAGCTCTTTCAGCAAACTCTCTTACTTGTCTTGCTTATTCTTTGAATCACAGCACAGGTTCTCTGAGTCCTTTGAGAGATCAGCCGAATAAACATACGAGTGGTGTATTCAGCCAAAAATGGGAACAATAAAATGATCTAGGGGGTGTCGGGGTGTGCTAGACATGTTCTTTTTCTCCTTCAAAGTCTCATTAGAGAATATAAATCTGGCCAGTAATATGAATCTATAATTTCCTCACCATTTCTGTGGTTTGCTGGCAGAGATAGTTTCATATATAGCAATTCATCAAGTTGCTTGCCCAGGCCCTTTACCAATTCCTTTTTTCTCTTGGAAGACTCCACATAATGTTCAAACGATTATATATAAGCAACTAGCCATCTAGAATATCTGAACATTGTTTATTTTGTCTTACCAGCTTAGTATTTCCATTCAGGACATTTTATCTCTGTGCAAAGACAGGAGTAGAAGCTGATGAGTGGATCAAGATATTACGCTGGAAATTGGTGAGTTATAACATCTTCTGGATGCTTGTTGTTAGCTGCCTTCAGGTTGATTCCAACTCACGGCGACCCAGAAGTAACATGTTGATCATTTCAAACATGTTTCCACTGAGTCATACTAACCCTGAGAATCAAGGGGGTGTCTACTTGTAGGCTTGTGGAGTAAACAGTCTGTTCATTCTTCTGGGACATGGGAAGAGATGGAGACAGAAATAAGAAAGGAAGAATGGAGCTGCACTTGGGTCTTACCCAAGAGCATTAGCCCAGTGACCCACCATCTAGCAGCCTTCCTTTAGTGTGTTCCAGTTAGCCCAATTTTGTCTGTAGAAGAACATTTGGGACAAGAGGAAAGACAGAGGAAAATTGACATATTTCTATAGTTGAAAAGCTGCCTGCCTTTTAAATAGCCAGAAAAGGAAGCTTGGCAGAGGAACTTAGCCTAGGTTCCAGTGTAAGCGTTACTTTGCGTAGGTCAAGGACAAAAGGTGATTTATTTTATCTGCTGTTTATACACCCTCCAGGGAGGAAGATAGAGTGCTTATAAAAATCTGCTAGCTTCATATACTTTCTGTACACATTTGCTAGTTAGTGGGTACTTGCTCTTAAAGCTTACTAAAATTTCCTTTAAATGCTATCTTGAAAACCTTGATGTTTAAAAAACTCAAACAATTTTCTCCTAATTATTTTTTACGAAATTATCTGGTATATAGGTGCTCTCTCAAAACAGAGAATCTTGATAAATATTCCTTTCTAGATGCTGGGACGTTTGCTTTTGGTTATCTTTCCAGTTTGAAATTCAAATAAATATACCATTTATTTTGAGATTGTTCCAATGTATTTGATATTCAATGAGGAAATACTTTGCCATACGAAATCTTTGCTCAAACAAAGATGAATCGATTTTTTATTCTTTCCATTTTATAATTATACAGTGATACATAATCTTCATAGAAAAATTAAAGATCTCTCAAATGTACACACTTTCAGACATCTCCCCATGAAAATATTTATTTAAAAGAAAAATTTAATGATTCTGTAAATAGTGTTCGTGAATATCTTTCCATATCAAAAATGTAGCTATATCTTCATTCTGGTTCATTGAATAGTACTGTATTTTATGAGTGTACCATAACTCGTAGATCAATTCCTAACTTGTAAATGTTTTAGCAACCACTTTACAATATTTCCCCTGACAAAAATACAGAAAACCAGATGAACTTGGGGAGAGGGCACATGATAATTAGTTTATAATTTTATGGTTTCTTTACTAATCAGCATGTCTTATTTCATATTTGTTAAATGCCAGAGTCAATTATCATAAAATCACTAAATAACAAATACGCATGTTTATGTGCTTTATTACAGTCACAAATAAGAAAAAAGCTAGACCAAGGGGATGGCACAATCCAGTCTCAGTCGTTTGTCTTTAAGTAGACCTTTCCTGACCAGGGATGCCCTGCTCCAGGAACAGAGTGGAATGTTCCCTGATGCTATGGTCAGTAGAAGACTTCAGAGGAAAGCCGAATAACGAATTTTCTTTAAAAACAAAACCAAAGCTGATGCTGATTGGGACCTTTCAGAACATGTCACATTTGCTGACTCACGGAAAACTGCTACCCTTCCGAGTTGTGGCCATCTCCCTGAGAATTCCTAAGCAAAGAGCGTTCTGATAGAAACAAATTAAACCACCACTTCCAGACTTGTTCAACGTTAGAGCATACAATATGTGGTTCCCAAGCTTTTTGACGTTAGTTGCCTGGAACCCCACTGTGTTCTGGACAATTCATCTGACATCAACATTGTGTTATCAGCAAGGAGAGAAACGGTTACATACTTGAGGCTTAGACAGTTTCTTCAGAAAACACATTGAGACAGTAAACATCAAAGATTTTTTTGGAGGGGAGGAGTTATTTTTTGCTTTTTTATTCTTTTTAAAAAAACAAAAGCAGTTTCCCAAAACTGGAAAATGTTTACAGTATTTATTTTCTCTTTTTAAAAGGCTCAGAAATCTAGTGGGTCCTTCACTTCTAATGACTAGCCCCTGGGAACTAAGTATCCAAAGACAATTATGTAGGAAAATAAAGACAAATGAAGGTACAATTTTCAAAATGTCTCTTATAACCATCTTGGAGGAAATGTTTTACAGAGTGAGAATTGAAGGGAGGGTAATGAAGTAGTAGATAACTTGTAATTTAATAGTAATAATAATGTTGTTAGCAGTGCTCGAGTCTCCCTCGACTCACGGCAACCCCATGCACAGTGGAACTAGAGGCTGTCTGGTCCTTTGCCATCCCTATGATTGGTTATGAATTGGACTGTTGTAATCCATAGGGTTTTCACTGGCTGATTTTTGTAAGGAGATTGCCAGGCCTTTCTTCCTAGTCTGGAAGCCCTGCTGAAACTTGTTCAGCATCATAGCAACACACAAGCCTCCACTGACAGATGGGTGGTGGCTGTGCACAAGGTGCACCGGCCAGGAATCAAACCCTGTCTCCTGCGTAGAAAGCGAGAATTCTACCACTGAACCTGAGCCACTAGTGCCCTCAGTAATAACAATAGAGCATTTATAAGCATATGTTAACTTCATCTGATATTTCTCCAAACAGACTGAAAGAGACTTCTCAAGGAGAATGTGTTACACAAGTCCCTCCCCCAGAGTTATGTGTAGTGTTGGCTCAAGAGATTAAGAATCACCTTGCCCTGAGATCGCTAAGCAGCCTGCACCTTGCAGAGCCACTTCTGTCACTGGCTGAGGGAGTAACACTAAAGAAATATATAATAATGTGTTATACAACATTTTCAAACTATATTGATACAGCAGAATGATACTGGTGTCCAGAGCTCATAATTATTCTAGCCCTTCTATCGCCTATATTAAAATGGCTTATTTACATAAAAGTTTGAAGAAAGAGAAAGTGGAGGAAGAACTTGAAAATAAAAAGATTATGGTGCAATGCTCCAGTATAACACTGCTCTTTCAGTCCAAAGAGATACCATGTTAAAATAAGTTTCTTTGGTTATCTAAATATCTAATACTTAGAAATTATATTTTTGCATATTACAACAAAGTTTTTAATGTGTTTTATTTGTATCATATGGCATAAAGCAAACATCAAGTTAAAATGCACGGTGTCAAGTTTGCAAAGCAAGGAGTTACAAATGAATCCTCACTGAGATGTAAGGTTTTATGTTTTGTTTTTCTTAGAACCAATGGTGTTTTTTTGTGTAGGAGATATTGTTTTACTTTTTGTCGAATGTGTCATGTTTATTTATATTCTTTGGTTCTGTTTGTTAAAAACTGCATGATTTTGCTGCACATGTACTATTTTGCTATTAAAATATATTTTTAATATCTGTAATTTAAAAGAAATACAACTGATTAATATAATAAATAGCCATGAAAAATCTGCTTCAGGTAAAGAGTACGAGATACAAAGGGTTTAAAGTTGAAGAAATAGTCCCAGTCTTAAAGGAGTTTTTAGTTGAAAAATAGACTACAAATAAATACATGCAATGTATAGATGTAAATACTGTAGGAGAGGTACACAGAGCTATATGACAGAAAATGTGCTTCAGCTGGGGTTAAATCCATTTACTGGAGAATTTTCACATGAAAAGGGAGCGCAAATATACACATGCTATGTAATTAGTACTTGGCCAGGTGCTTTACCTTTGCAATCCATTGGATGCTCTCAGCACCCCTGAGCAGTGGTTGTGATTTTACCTCCTGAAGGAGCCTGGTGAAGTAGCCCTCAGCTACTTCTCCAAGTCCAAAATGAGAGAGGAGGGGGGGAGTTTGGGAGAATAGCAAGTGGGGTTTGTGTGTCAGGCCCTGTCTTCTAACAGGTATGTGCTTATCGTAAAACCAAACCAAAACCCGATGCCGTTGAGTCTACTCCAACGCACAGTAACTCTACAGGACAGAGTAGAACTGCCCCACAGGGTTTCCAAGGAGTGGCTGGTGGATTCGAACTGCTAATCTTTTGGTTAGCAGCCAAGCTCTTAACCACTGCACTACCAGGGCTCCTTATAAAGGAAGTAAGGACGTTTCAAGACACAGCCAAAGTGTTAGCAATTATTCCTCTTCTCAGAATCCCCCCCAGGGAATGTCTTACCCCCAGAGGAGCACTGTTTCCTCTGGACCAGGGGAATCACTACCATGGTGGGGATGGCTATGACTGCCTCTGAGGCCACTGAACATCAGCACATTCTGTGAGGCGGGATCTGTCTCTTTCTAGCACGTGGCATGCAAGAGAGTGGGCTCTTTGTGCCTTCCCACTCACACACACTCAGTGTGCAGGTCGGGAGTTACACTGTGTCCCTGTTTCAGGCAGAGAGCAAGAGAAATAATTATTACAGGGTGAACAGTCTTCCAAGTGATGCAATCCTACTTTCCTTCACCTTCACTACTTCACGTCAGTTGTAGCAAACCCATATTTTCGTCAAACTCTTTTAATCCAGTATATTATATAGCAGAGGTCCCAGCCTGAACCTCAGCTCTGCTCACTAAGGATTCAAGCTCTCTAGGCATGATATCGAGTACAGTTTCTCAAACCATCTGTAGTGAAGGACTAGATTTTCTGATCTTCTAAAAGGGAATTATTAGAAAAATGAAGTAAAAAAATACAGATATCAGATTCAACAGACAAAGTTACTATGTCAAATTGTACGATTTTACAAACTTTGTCTCAGTTTCTGTCATGTACTGCTATCTTATCATGAACTGCTAACAGTTTGCGGAACAGCCCAGTTTGTGCACCATTTTGAGTAGTACTGGGCTAGCCTGCAGGCAGGTAAAAGGAATCAAGAGCTTTCTTGAGAAAACATTCATGTTAATGAAGAGTTTTGGGGTGCAAATGTTTCATTGATGGATAATAGACATTGCTATAGGGAAAGAGTGATTCTGAGCACATCCTTGTGAGTTACTCAGCCTATCCTCAGCAAAACCTAAAAAGTGAGACTGTTTCACTCGAGTCTCAAGCAGACAGATGTTGAGAGTGTAAACTGTGTGGTACCTACAGCTGTGGACGAAGATACCACCCTTAGTTGTCAGTGTAGACTCCAGCAGACTGAAGGCACCTGGAACCCCAGTGAGCAGCATCGGCGATGGCTAGGCTTTCAGAAGCATAGCTCGCTTAGCAAAAGTAAAGGGAATTAGCAGATGCCATCTGAAGTCTGTGAAAGCTGGTTTCAGGAGCACATGGGAAGGGCTCTATGTAGACTTCCAGAAATATCTGGAAGGCTTTTTTGAGAGGAACTGGATTTTCTAGGTAAGTACAATTTTGCAACTTAAACATTGTTTTGATGTTGCCTCTAGGATGGTAGAAAACAAGGGTGACAAATTATACATTCATCACATCGCAGTCTTTGTTACTGTCAAAACCAGCTATGTTTCAATGTACTTGTCCTGTGGATCATATATAACTGGACTGTGTGGTTTCTCTACCTTCTTTTTTTCCCCTTTTCTACTGGATTTCTTACTCTGAGGTATTTTCTTAGTTGGGCTTCTTAGTTGGGCTTTCTGGTTACCTCTTTCCTGCTCCTCATTCCCCTCTTAACAACTTTTTTGTTGGCGGTTCCACTATGTATCCCCTTTCTCGTCTATTTTTCAGGAGTTATCATCTTACAAAATTCCCCCAAAAGATAACTGAATTGCTGAACTACTTAGACCAGCAACCAGAAAAGTGTATGGCACATGGTAGATGTTCAATTAATATTTGTTGAATGGATGAATAAAAAATTGTGATGACAGCTCCGCAAGGATATAATTTAACATAAAAAAAATTTCAGGGTCCTGACATTTTGGTAAATAAACTAGGGCTGCTAACTTATCAGTATAATGTTTTACCTTTGTACTTCATTTCTTTAAATTTTACTACAAAGGATCTAATGGTTCAGTTATTGTTCTCTTTTATCCACTTGAAACTTATCTTGATATATGTCATAAATTAGGGGTTTAACTTGATTTTTTGATGGTAAATGTGTCAACTTGGCTAGGTTATGTTGCTGTGTGTATATATATATATATATAATTTATTTTTATACATATTTGTTGAAGAAATTTCCAGACAGGGTTAGTGGGTTGACAGGTATATGCATTTGTAATATTAGTAATAAGGACACCCAATGATTATTAATCACTTACTATATGCCTTTTCATTGTGTTTGTATATATATATATATAATTTATTTTTATACATAAATTGTAGCATACTACGCACACTGTTCCACACCTTGCTTTTTTTGACCGTTATGTCTTGGTGATCATTCCATCTCTGTATCTAATGCACTTTATTTATTCCATTGAGTAAATGTAGTTATTTATTTAACTAGTCCTCTATGATTGGGGTGACTATATAATCTCCCATCTACAAAGGGACACTTGAGGGTGAAAGGAACACTATTAATAATGACTCCAGGAAGAGAGGGTATAAAATGGTACTGTCTGAAAAACCAGACATATGGTCACCCAACCTATGATGGATATTAAATTGTTTCCAATGCTTTGTTATTAAGTGTTGTAAAAAATACATTTGTAAACATATAACTTTGCACATGTCCACATGCATAGGTTGGATAAATTTCTCAAGTGGCATTGCTGGGCCAAAGGTTATGTGCATTTGAAAGTCTGATCAGGACTTCCAGGCAACATGGCGCTATAGACAGAAGCACCATGCTGTCCCTCCACAGCAAAGATCCAAAAAACTAAGCCAAACAGAGAAAACATCAATCCTGTAACCCTAAGCATCAAATAAGGAGATAAAAGAACTCAGCCAAGCACCAAATGGAATAAGAAACTGACAGAGACCAGAGAGTGAGGAGAGATACATGCAGAGGTCCCCTACCAGCTACTGCAGCACGGACCTGCCATCTTGACTCCTAGCAGAGACTGGTGAACAGAGGGTACAGGAAATCAGCTTCACAGAGCTTCCAGCAGGAGATAGAACAACCGGTAACCAGCAGTATATGCTTTCCCATCCCCCCACCCTTCTTCAGCCCCACTCGACCTCCTCTGCTTCCTGAGGCCACAGTCTCTTGGCCAGGAAGCACAAGCTTCACCCCAGTGCTGCTTGGATTCTACCCACCCACACTGGTCGGCTCCCTGAGTGCCATTTGTTGGCTGCTGGTGTTGCTTTTTTCGGCTTCTTTTGATTTCTTCCATACCTCTCGCCACCTCCCCCTCCTGTCAACTACCTGGCTCCGTGCATCATCTTTGCTTCTTCCTGAAAGGCTGTGAAATGCCACTCGAATGTGAAACTGCTTCCCGGCCCATGCTGCCATGCTGGTGGGATCCCAGGGCTTTTCTTTTTCTTTTCTTGAATTGGGAGCCTGTTCTAGCCAGGCA